GACACAAAAGACCCCAAATAGGCAAAGCAATCTTGAGAAAGAAAAACAGAGCTGGAGGAATCAGGCTTCCTGACTTCAGACTATACTACAAAAATACAGTCATCAAAACAGTATGGTACTGGCACAAAAACAGAAATACAGATCAATGGAACAGGATAGAAAGCCCAGGAATAAACCCATGCACCTATGGTCAACTAAGCTATGACAGAGGAGGCAAGAATATAAAATGGAGAAAAGATAGTCTCTTCAACAAATGGTGCTGGAAAACTGGACAGCCACACATAAAAAAATGAAATCAGAACATTCTTTAACACAATACACAAAAATAAAGTCAAAATGGGTTAAAGACCTAAATGTAAGACTGGTTATTATAAAACAGAGGAAAACATAGGCAGAACATGCTTTGACATAAATTGCAACAATATCTTTTTCGATCCATATCCCAGAGTAATAGAAAACAAATGGGACCTAATTTAACTCAAAAGAAACCATAAGCAAAACGAAAAGACAACCCACAGAATGAGAGAAAATAGTTGCAAATGATGCGACTGACAAAGGATTAGTCTCCACAATTTACAAACAGCTCATGTAGCTCAATATCAAAAAAACAAACAACCCAATCAAAAAATGGGCAGAAGACCTAAAGAGATATTTCTCCAAAGAAGATATACAGATTGCCAACAAACACATGAAAGGATGCTCAACATCACTAATCATTAGAGAAATGCAAATCAGAACTGCCATGAGGTATCACCCCACACCCGCCAGAATGGCCATCTTCAAAAAATCTGCAAACAATAAATGCTGGCAAGGGTGTGGAGAAAAGGGAACCCTCCTACACTGTTGGTGGGAATGTAAATTGATACAGCCACTATGGAGAACAGTGTGGTGGTTCCTTAAAAAACTAAAAGTAAAGCTACTATATGATTTAGCAATCCCACTCTTGGGCATATATCCAGAGAAAAACATGGTTCAAAAGGATACATGCACCCCAGTGTTCACTGCAGCACTGTTTACAACAGCCAAGACATGGAGACAACCTAAATTTCCATTAACAGATGAACAGATAAAGATGTGGTACATATAATAGAATATTACTCAGCCATTAAAAAGAATGAAATAATGCATTTGCAGCAACATGGATGGAACTGGAGATTATCATACTAAGTGAAGTAAGTCAGACAGAGACAAATATCATATGATTTTGCTTATATGTGGAATCTAAAAAAAACGATACAATGAGCTTATTTACAAAACAGAAACAGACTCACAGACTTAGAGAACGAACTTATGGTTACCAGCGGGGAGGGGAGGGGTAGATTGGGAGTTTGGGATTGGCATGTACACACTGCTATATTTAAAATGTCTTTCCATGAAAAAAGAAAAGAAAAAAATTAGTGTTTCTTTCTTCCTGCACCCCTCACCAGTCTCACCTATACATTCTCTGTCATCTTAGTATTTTGTAGGAAGAACAAAGGGAAAGGTGAGTCACTTCTGTAGGTGTTAGAGACATAAAATGTATGACAGCTTTGGAGGAGAGGTTACTGTGGGCTGGGAAGATCAGGAAAGACTTCATGGGGAGATGAGAATTGAGTTGGGTCCTGAGGGATGGTTAAGATTCCTATTAGTCTTGCAGGGGAGGCGGGGAACTGAGCAAAGATGCAGAGGGAAGAATGCACAAGACAGGTTTGTGAGGGTGTGAGCTGGACCTGTGAGGCTGAAGCAGAAGATTCACATAGAAGAGTACCAGGCGAGAGAACAGTGGTGGGAGAAAACTTGTGGAGGGGCCTGAATCCTAAGCTGAGGAGTTGAGACTACCTTGTAAGTAGAGGGGATCCAAAGAAGCCTTGAGTAGTATGCTGTATAAATAGTTGGAAGGTGAGAGTCTAAAAGCAGGGTCCTTGAATCCAAAGGGCCTATAGACAGAGGCTAAAAGCAGGCTACTGGTACATTCTAAGTACATTCTAGTAAAGGTCTGATAAAGGTCTGAAAAAGTGGGAATGGAGAAAACCAGATGCTATAGGAGGAATTGATAGTTCTTGGGATCTTTGTGGGGATCAAAGGAAAGAGAGGAAGCAACCACTCCGAGCCTGGGAAACTAGGAGTATGATAACACCTTTGGGAGAAATTGGAGGCCAGGTTGGAATAAAAGGAGGATGGTTTGAGATGGTAGCACTGTTTCAGTGCTCTAGTGGGAAATTATACACAACTCACCTTCATGTCCTCGAAATCTGTTATACCCATCTGAGGGAGGTTTGAGCAGTTTACGTGGATGAGTTTTCGGCCACTGATGAAGTTTGTGGTAAAACACTCCTATCAGTACAATGAGAACATTACTCAAAAGATGTATGGCAAATACAGGAAGAAAAAAAGCAAGAAAGAGAAAAGGAGGTGGGAAGGAAGGAAAGAGGGAGGGAGGGGAGGAGGAATAAATAAATCATATTTGTCTCTAGCTCTGTACTGATAAAAAATTTTAATTTAATAATCCCACATATTTTCCATCTAAACTCTTGATTAAATTTCACACTGCTGCTTAATTTTTTTTTTTTTTGCACGATACAACCAGTGCTTCTTTCTTGCCTCAACTACATTTTTAACTACAGTGGTACCAAAGATTTCAGATCTTGTTTTGTTTGTGGAACATAGTTGGCAGTGAAATAATAGGATTCACCCTATTTAAAAAAGAAAACTATCCTTGGTTAATTGGCTATATAAATTAGTACTGTTAGGTGATCATGATACATATAACACATTTGGGGCAGACACTAAGATTAATAGTACAAGTTCAAGTTAAGGGAGTTGCTACTAAAACAACCTAACAAAGTACCAAAAAGTCTACCTTGGATGAAATCTTTTTAGAAATACAAATTTCTATGAAAAGAAACCTACATAAATTTCTTAGTCTTTATTCAAGGATTGCAGAGAAGTATAATCACTGTGATGAATAGGAAAAACAAACGTGACCTTTCCTTCCTCTCCCAATATACAAATATGTATCAGTGGAAAGGCCAAAATTAAAATCCAAGTTACCTCTACCATAGTCCATGCCTCTTCTACACTCCTTCTAGTGAAGATGCAAAAGCTCAGGTAAGGATAGAGGAATAAGAGGTAGAGGAATGAGAGTATACGATTACAAAAAATGTCATTTTTGTATACCTTGTATTGAGGGAAGCCTAGCTGGCAAATCCACTCTGCAACTTTCTCTGGGCTCCATTCAAGATACCCAAATTGTAGGTCAGTACTTTTTTTTGGCTGGGTTTCTTTATCTTTAGGTACCAGTGTCATTGACTCTGGGGACAGATCTTTCTTTTCATTAGAGGACTCTTTTAAATCCCTCTGAGACTCAGAGTAATATGAGTAGAATTCATAATTGGTATCAGAAAACTGAAACAGATTTTGGAGTTCTTTAGAAAACTCATAATCTGTATTCACTGAGTCTACTTCACTTATTGGAAGAGACTCTAACACAGAGTCTTTTGAAACGTCTTTAGTTTCTTTTACTAACAACTTTCTTGTTTGATAGTCAGAGTACTCTGGCTCATCCCTGTCTACAGAACACTTAAGTCTGATTGGTTCTGGCCTATCTTCCTTGGCAAATTCTACACGTGTCTCTATTCTAAGTAGTGGTTTGGCTTTATATGGTAACTCTGAATCTATCTTCTTAGTTGGCTCTGTTTGTGTCTTCTCTTGCACCTCTGGTATGATCTTCTGTGGTGGCACCTGACCTGTTTCTTCAGTTGACTTTCTCGGTTCTTTCTTTGGAAACTCTGGTTTAGTCTGTTCTGGAGGCTCTGGAACTTGCTCCTCAGTTGACTCTCTTAGTGTCTCCTCTGATCTGGACTTCTGTGATGGTGCTAGACCTGTCTCCTCAGTTGATTTTTTCTGCTTATCTTTTTGATCTGGAGATTTGGTGTCCTCTGGTGGCTCTAGAACTTTCTCTGCAGTTGACTTTCTTTGTGTCTCCTCTTGAACTTCTGGTTTGGTCTTTCCTGATGGCTCTAGAACTGTTTCCTCAATTGGTTTTCTTGATTTTTCCTCAGAAAACTCTGATTCGATCTCTTCTAGTGGCTCTGGAATTTTCTCTTCAGTTGACTTTCTTTGTGTTTCCTCAGTAGACATACTTGGTTTCTCTTCTGGAAACTCTGGTATGGCCTGCTCATGTGGCTCTGTCCTTTTCTCCTCAGGTGACTTACTTTGTGTCTCCTCTGGAATCTCTGGTGTGGTCATCTTTGGTGGCTGAAGATCTGCCTCTTCAATTGATCTTCTTAGTTTCTCACTTGGAAATTCCGGTTTGGTCTGCTCTGTAGGTTCCAGACCCGTCTTTCCATATTGCTCTCTAAGTGACTCCTCCCAAACCTCTAGTTTGGTCCCCTCTAGTAACTCTAATCTTGTCTCACTGATTGTGGCCCCTGGAACCTCAGACTCGGTTTCCTTTCGTAGCTCTAGATCTGTTTCCTTAGCTGCCTCTATGAGCATATCCTCTGCGACATCTGGTTTGGCTTCCTCCTCTGGTTCCCCATGCTTTTCGTCCACAAGGACCTCCAAATCCTTGAAAAGCTCTATCTGTCTGGATGTCTCCGACTTTACCTCTTTGGGAATCCCTAGCTCAATCTCGCTAGAAATGTCTGTCTTGGACTTGTGGGGAGCCTCTTCCTCGGACGTCCAGGTGGGTTTCAGTCGTAGGTGTATATTCTTAGCACTCGCCGGTGTCTCCTCTTTGAAGCCCTCTTCTTGCGTCTCTGGTTGTGGCTCTTGGTCAGTCCCTACAGGCAGCTCTGGCCCTGCCTCTGCCATGCTGCCTGGTTCGACATCTTCAGTCACCTTAAGAGACTGAAGTTTTGGTCTCTCAGGCTGCAGGTCTTCATCTTCACCGGGGCCGGAATCGTAACCTTCTGGGACTTTTGCCGTAACGCACACTAGCCGACGCGCCCAGGCCTCCTAGCAACCTCAATTTCCGATAGCGTGTCTATGGATACCACGACTTCCGGCCGGGTCTCACTGAATCTTCCCCAGGTTTCGTTTCTTCTTTCAAGCACTGACTTTAAAAACCTGCGATCATAAGCACGCAGTAACCCTCCCCGAGCCTGCGTCGCAGGCCTCCGCTAGCCAGAGCTCTCGCGACCGCTCGGGGGCCGACGCGCTGCCCCTTCCGGCCCGCGGGCTCCGCTCGGCTCTTCCCGGCGCGCTGGGCCTTCGGCTCTTTCCGGAGCCACTTGCGGCAGGCTGCGGAGGCGCTGCGGACGCGCGCTGCAGATGTCGGACCGGCGGGCGGCTGAGGGGCCGGGCGTCTGGAGCCCCGCAGCCCGCCGAGGGCCGGCGCACGGCGTCGGGGACGGCCCGGGAGTGGAGGGGAGCCAGGCGGCCGCCTCAGGTACGCAAGGCCGGGCGCCGGCGGGTGGGTGCCGCCGGCCTCGGGACCCCGCACCTCGGTGCGAGGCTCGGCCGCGCTCTGACCCGCGCTGCCCGGAGGAGCGGACCGGCCTGGGCAGCCCCTTCGCGCGCGGAGCCCCTGCCTTCGCTCCTGCCCGGGCCCGGCTCCCCCGGGCCGCGACTCCCGCCCCCGCCATCCTTAGGGCCTGGTCTTCGCTCGAGATTATTTTCTACTCCTGTTTCGAAATGCCTTGGTTCCTGCCCCGCTTCCTTTCTCAGAACAGCCCGGATGATAGTGACAGGGCATCTCTGACCCTGGCGCCTCTTCACCTTCAGCACGCCTGCCCATCACTCCTTGGCTGCCGACCCCGACCCCACCGGCCTTGCTGCCCCTGCTTCTGGCTCCCCACCCCGATCCTCACCTCTGTCCCAGGTCCCAGCCTTTCCACGCGCCTCTCTGCCCCCATCCGAATAGGCAGCCTCGCCTTCATCTGTCCAGAATCCCGTTTGCTCTAGCCTGCCTGCATATAGGGCCCCGCGCCTCACCTCGCATCCATCCTCTCCGCCTCTCAGAGTGGGCGAGATGAAAAGCGCAGTTGGAAATAGGTGGGCTCTGGGGTCTTTTGAATGAACATAGCGGCCAGAGCCAAGGCAGGAAATCGGGGCTGAAATAGGAACTTTGGCGACCCTCCCTCATTCTCCAGGACCCTCCCCTTGTTCCGGAGACTGTCTTACTTCCACCCACGCTAGTTCCTCCATGTGGATTACTTCATTGTCAGTGTCCGAAGGCGAAAGTGTCCAGCGATTACACTTACCTTCCGAGCCTCCTTATCATCACCACACGGGATGCAACTAAAAAGATTCTCATTTGAAATACGGCAGGGTAGGTAGGGGGAGAGTACTGGGCTCACTAAGTAGCAAGTAAAAATTAAATTTCCAGTTCTGAAATTAAAATAGACATCATGAAGTATAGCGGTAGAGGTGGTGCCATGATGCCTGGGTTGGAGTGTGAATCTTTAATTTACTTGGGCAAGTCACTAATCTGTGTTTGTTTCCTCATCTATAAAATGTGGGCACTATAGGGTTGCATGGACCACTATGTATGAGGCACTTGGTGCCTAAGCCACGGTACACAGTAAACTGGTGTTATCCGTTATGAGAATAAGGTCTGTTTTTGCTCACCGAAACTCCACGTGCTGTCAGAGGAGGTGTTCCTGGATGTGTATCTCCGGGTATGGTGACTTTCCCCATCTTTTACTTCTATCCTAAATATCTCCCATTTCCTAATGCTGCTTGGGTCAAACACACACACACACACAGCTTTGAATCACCCAGCTTTTTCATGTGACTTTATATTCTCTTACTTTAAAATATCTAACAATTGTTGTCTTTTTTCCTTCTTATGAACTCTTATGCTTTGTAGTAAATTCAGAATTGCTGGCATGTATTTAACATTATAGCAATAGAAATTTTAAGCATACTTTCTGAACGATTAAGCAAATGAACACTTAGGAAGTCTCATAAACATCTATGTGTTAATATTTATAAATTAAGGATTTTTTTTTTACTTCCTCTTTAGATCCTTGTGGCAAATATACCCAAGCATTTTAAACAGAAAGGTCTTAAGAATAGTCCAGGAATGTTTTGGAGGATAGTGGGTTTGTCTCTGAGTGTGTCTCTCCCCCCACCCCCAAACCTTGTAATTGGTTCCTGCATTCACATTTTCCTCCCAGGATGTTGATGGAAATACTTATTATTACTTTCTTCTTCTTGCCCTCAGAAAACAGGGTGAGTGTTGATTTCTTTTATGTCATGTAGGGGTTTGTTATTGTAGCTCAGAGCAAGCTCTTCCCCTTGAGGTAAGATTTGTTGCTAATAAAATAGCTAATAAAATAATAGTAATGATAGCTTACATTAATTGAATGCTTACTCTGTGCCAGAATGTGGAAAAAGATTTCCTTGTATTATCTGACTTAATCCTGTCAACAGTCATTTCCTCCCCGTTTTACGGAAGAACAAACTACAGCTGAGAGAAGTTAACTTATTTGCTCAAGTTAGGTGTGGAGTTTTTACTGTCTGTCTGAAATTGTCACCTTGTTATGATGAAGTTCAGAATAGTTTATTTTTTATTTTTATTGGCCATTAATCAAGTATTGGTATTCTAGGGCAGGTTACGGTCTTTGCTGTCTAGGGGTTTTTAGTTTGGTAAGATGAGAGTACCCAGGAAGAAAAATCGACCATTCAAAACTTTATATAATTGGGTGTCTTTTATTGCAATTCTTGCCACACTGTGCGGCATGTGGGATCTTAGTTTCCTGACCAGGGATTGAACCCTCGCCCCCTGCAGTGGAAGCACAGAGTCCTAACCACTGGACCACCAGGGAAGTCCCTATTACAATTCTTTATGTACGTACCCCCAAGAAACCAGCTTAAGGGTAGGGACAGACTCTATCTTGTCTGTTTCTCTCCTAGAGTCCTTGATGTGTCCTAGAGGTTCTGTAAATATTTGCTGGATTGTGAGACAAAGTCTCAACACAGGTTTGAAGGAGCATCAAATGAATATGAGGAATTAGGGTTGAGATATCGAGAATGCTCTTTAGGTGAAAGCAGTTGTTCTCAACCAGCAGCGATTTTGCCTCTCCCAGGGGACATTTTGATTGTCACAACTTGGGTTGGGGAGGAGGGGAAGCGCTGTTACTGACATCTTGTGGGTAGAGGCCAGTGAACCTGCTAAACAGCCTCCAGTGCACAGAACTGCCCCCACAATGAAGAGTTATCTGGCCCAGATGTCAGTAGCGCAGCTGTTGAGAAACCTTGAGTTAGAGTTCAGCTGGGTTTCCAAAGTGGTGTGCAAAGCATGCATTTGGCTTAACTCAGAGTTGTATAGGCTTGGGAGTAAACTCAAAACACTGCTTGGAACTAGCAGTTTGTTTGATTGGATCTTTCTGCCACCTTCCCCTGGAAAATGATCCAATGAGTAAGCAATAGAGGCCTAAGAATGAAATCAAAAGAGGTTTCAGGGGACTTCCCTGGTGGTCCAGTGGTTGAAGACTCCGTGCTTCTACTGCCAGGGGAGCAGGTTCAATCCCTGGTTGGGGAACTAAGATCGCACATGCCACGCGGCCAAAAACAACAATAACAACAAAAGAGGTTTCTGTCATTCTCTCAGCAATAAGAAATGAGATTGGACATTCAGTTGTTATTGAAATAAGGGTTTTGATTTTTTTCAATGTGTCTTGTTCTTCAAAGCAGGAATTTATAATTATCCAGAATAACCATGACTTGTTTTTTAAAAGTATTCTAGGCAAAGAATACCTTTTGAGGGTCTTCGTGTTTGTCAGCTGCGGTTTTGGTAATAAAGTAAGAAAAATGTTGATGTTCTTCTGAACTAAGCTCTCCATTGGTCATAGTGTTCTTGTTGTTTTATGAACTGTAATTGTTTTTAATAGTCTTTTATTTGGGGGCACCTGGGTCCTTCAGTTCCCAAGAGGAGAGAGAGATCACTCTTTATATAGTGAAACTCTCTGAGGCATATGTTACATCACTTAAGAACAGGGCTTTTCTTTCTTTCATCGTTCTTTTGTTTGTTTGTTTTTTAAGTTTAGGGAGCTTTGGGGAAAATAAAGGGCAAAGTCTGTTATGACCTTGAAGTGAGCAGAACTTGGTCTGGTATATATGACCCTGAGAGCTACTGATGCATGTAGACGTCAAGGACTGCAAACAGGTCAGGTGAACTTGTTCATTATTCTTATGTAGGACTTAGAGCAGTGCAATAAGTCTTTCTGCAGTGATGGAAATGTTGCTTATCTGTGGCTATTTCGACTTCAATTAAAATTTAAAAATTGGTGGTTACTATATTAGGTGGAGCAAAAGAGTGGAAGTCTATGCCAAAGAGCCCCAGTGGTTTTTGGGTTTCTGGGTTTTTTTTTGTTTTTTTTTTTTTATTTATTTATTGGCTGCGTTGGGTCTTTGTTGCTGCACATGGGCTTTCTCTAGCTGTGGCGGACGAGCACGGGCTACTCTTTGTTGTGGTGCGTGGGCTTCTCATTATGGTGGCTTCTCTTGTTGTGGGGCGTGGGCTCTAGGCACGTGGGCTCAGTAGTTGTGGCTCACGGGCTCTAGAGCGCAGGCCCAGCAGCTGTGAAGCTCGGGCCTAGTAGCTCTGCTGCATGTGGGATCCTCCCGAACCAGGGCCCAAACCTGCATCCCCTGTGTTGGCAGGAGGACTCTCAACCACTGCGCCACCAGGGAAGCCCTGTTTTCTCTCTGTTTAAAACAGGACTGCATCTTCCACACTTTAAACTTCTGGAAATAAACATGTATTTCTTTCTCCTTTTCTTACTTCCTGCCTCTCTGAATCCAATTACAAGTTGTTTTACCAGTAGTTCTTACATAGTTTAGCGAATATATTTAACCTTAAAAATCAAAAGCAATATCTCTTTTCACTTTTTTTTCCCTGCATACATTAAGTTGTTAAGATGCTATGAGAAGTGGCTCTTCACATATGAAAGATGCTCAACCTAACTCACAATAAGGGAAGTGAAAATCGTAACTATGCTGGGTAGTTCAATATCTCACTATATGTTGGCAACGGTGTGCAGAAACACAAACTTTCATGTATTGCTGAGGGGTGTGGAAATTGATACAAATGCTATGGAGGGCAATTTGTCAATATCTTTCAAAATTACAATATATGTCCTCATTGATCCTTTTTTTTCTAGGAGTTTATCCTATAGATCACACACCTATTTAATGACACAGACGCAAGGTTATTATAGCATTGCTTGTAATGGTAAGCGATTAGAAAGGGGCTTCCCTGGTGGCACAGTGGTTGAGAGTCCGCCTGCCGATGCAGGGGACACGGGTTCGTGCCCCGGTCCGGGAGGATCCCACATGACGCGGAGCGGCTGGGCCCGTGAGCCATGGCCGCTGAGCCTGTGCGTCTGGAGCCTGTGCTCCGCAACGGGAGAGGCCACAACAGTGAGAGGCCCGCGTACCGCA